TTTATTTTTTGAAATATAGAGAAATTTTTCAACGATTTATGTGAACTAGCAAAAATTAAGTACAATGATAATATTATTTTCACCTCTCATAATAAAACAAAAATCGATGTGGTCATCATATAATCGGAAGTTAACTTTAAAGCAAATTCTACCATATTGAATGCCTTAATCTTATAATATAAAAATTTATGATCAGCTATCAATTGCCAACGCATTTAATAATTTTTTTAATGGAATGTGAATTACTTTAATTCTGGTGGAAATGGCGCTTATTAAACCATATGATTAAAAATGTAAAACCTCGACACTAGATGGCTTTAAATACAACAATTAAATCTTGAACAAAATAAAAAACGACTTTGCTCTTTCAAATCTTGCTTAATATTTTTCCTAGAACACTATATGTAATACCGATTTATTAAGATTTTTATTGACATTATTTTGTTCATTACATGATTTTCGTTAAAATGTATATTTTAGGAGATATTTGCAAAAAAACGAAGAAAAATGCCAAAAATATATGAATCTTTAGTGGCCAGTAACTTGAAAGCAAACTGTTTTTAGACGTTAGTCAATTTGTACACACTAGATGTAAGCAAAAATTGTCTAAAAAATTAATTAGTTTAAATGTTCCAATTATTAATAGCCTGGTTATCACAGTGTAATAGTGTAGTGTATTTTTGTATAATTAATTCTTTTTCCACTGAATGACGGTCTCGATGAAGACCGAAACGTATGGATAAATAAAGTATTTAAAAACTACTTTAGTTTTTTTCTTTACTTGGTGTTTACTGCCCGATCTAAATAACTCATCAATATATATATATATATATATATATATATATAGATATATATATATATATATATATATAATTTAATAATACATAGTATACTACTGCAAAGTAAATGCTCGTAACTCCGTACAATATTAAAAATATGTTGGCATCCGATAATTTTGAAAAACAGAAGTATAATCCTGCAGGAAATAGAAAGACCAAAAGTTGTAGATCAAAATAAAATGATGACCATGATGTTGGCTGATGTTCAGAAACAGAAGCTGAAAGAACCAAATAAGTTCAAACTTAATAATAGAAATATATTTATTATATTCAAAAATCAAAAACTATATAATTTTTAACTATTTTATATTAATATAAAAAAAGTTATTAGTATCAAATTTTAATAGTTATTTATAATCGATAGATCCCAGGTTTCATGCATATATATTCATTCAAAAATGAAAATTAATGAAACAAAATAAGTCTGTATAACTCATTAATAATATAAAATGTATTTATTACATTCAAAATTATTATTTAAATTTTACCTACTTTATATGAATTAGAATTATTAGAATCAAATTTTAATAATTTTTTATGAACAGTAGTAGGTACCATAATTGATCCATAAGTTTTAATTCAAAAATGAAATTTAGAAATAAGTGTCATTTTAAATAGCCTTCATAAAGCATACGATCTAAAACAACATTGGTAAATCTCATCTCACTAAGTTTTCCTGAATTGAACTAGAGTCCAACACCATTATGTGCTGAACATCCCATTATTGTATGTTTATAATAAATAATGATTTACAATAAAAATTGTCATTAACAACTTTCTAAATTCTATTCGACATTCTATATCGCAAAAAAAATTGTATTTATTCAGGTTCAAATTCAGAATTTTCTGATTTAAAATCAACTTCAATACGATAAATTTCTATTCTCAACATACCTATTATAGGAATATGGTTTTTAGCATACGACGGATCTAATAACGAATAAAATCTTCCTGTCCAAGGCGCAATTTTTCCAGAGACTGCCAGTAAAGATCCGGCAACAACTGTAATAGTTGCGACTACGTACACCAATGCTTTAAATAATATCTGAAAGTATATAATTCTTAAAACCAATCTAGGATATAATTACTAGACAGTAAATCAATTAATAAACTTACCTCAAACTCCGTGGCCGATAATTTGCTCTTTAAATAATCTACGAATGCATGGATTTGGCACAGACCAAACACTCCTAACGCCTGAAATAAAAATCAACTAGTTGAAAGTGGCATTTTGCCTTAAGGCAAGTTGCAGAAACTTCCCGATAGATGTAATAATTGACCTAATCAATCAGATTTAAATTGTATTTAGATAAAATTATCAAATGTTTATTTCGAAAATCAAGTTTTCGCTTTCAATTAAGTGAAAATATTGCGATTTCCAATTGATATTACTCATATTTTAAAAATCTGTAATTATATTAATTAAAGTGCTTGTGTGTTCTAAAATTGTAACCTATTAATTTAAATTTTAATTAATTTTTATAATTGAACCAATTTACGTAAGACTGTTTAGTGCATGAACTTTATCGCAATAACATTGAAACGTCGAAACATTTCTTTTAAAAAACTTAAATCATTTGTGTGAAATATTAGCGCCTGCTATAAAAGAATACTGATACGATATATCATGCACGTAGTTCTAAATAATATTTAATAATTTAAATTTTAAACAAATGCTAACATTTTTTATAAAACTAGGTAAGTTTTGTAGATTTCATTTTTTTTTTGCTATTACCAAAGGCATTTCTAACTGATTTGATTGACTTGTCACATCACAAAAGCGACTTTTGACACAAATTCGATCAACTTTGATTTGATTGATGATTTTTTAAAATTACACTACTTGTCGTAGAGCCGTAATATTTCAATATATTTTAAAACCACGATACTATCGTCAAAAAAAGTTTCATAAAAATCTCCAACAATTTTTTCTCAATTGTTAATCACGATTCGGGTTTGCGTGCTAAAAGGTGGACAAAAAGTTTTGCATTTTTTCGCTTATTACAAAGAAACGGGTCGGCCGATAGTCGCACAAAACTGAGAAACGATAGTACTCATAGACAAGCATCGAATGGCTTTCAAATTTTTGAAATCGGCTTAGGCGTTTTTGAACAAACGTCGATAGAAGGTCCGATTTTGAATTAACTGGTGAAAATTTTTATACGACGGTTTTCATTAATTTTTTCAAGCTTTGACAAATTTTAAAATTAAACGACTTGTCGTAGAAAAGTTATATTTTAGTACTATCTATAAGACCAAGATATCTATTCGATATATCGCAAAAAAAAAAAATGATAAAAACCGTCGTATAAAAAATTTCATCAGCTAATTACAAGAAATTGTTCCAGCAAATCTTCAGCAAAAACTAATCAGGTCGATTCCCAACCAATTTCTTTCGCTGGGTTATTAAATTTTCAAAATCGATTCAGGATTGTGAGCTAAAACGTGAAAGAAAAATTTTTCAATTTTCTGCTATCCACAAACTCTCTCCTTCGAAAAGTTTCTAGTGGTGCATGACATCGTGATTTTTGAGAATTTTGAACTTTTTTTTGAATAATCGCGCTGCATAGCTTAGTCGAAGTTAGAGTAGACATTAGATTTAGAGTCGAAATATCGTAGCGCGTAAGTGCCGAGTCGTAGTGTAACGTGTAAACATTGGTACGGAACCCATATAAATTTGTACTTATTACTATAATCTCTATAAAATATCTGATAATACGATGTGCATACGTCTAATGACCATTTTTCACCGCCAAATGGCATCGTTTTTTACTTTCTTTTTTATCTCTGGAAATGCTGTATCTGCCTTCCCAAAAATCATTTTTCATCCATCCCAGTTGTTCATTTCGTCAATACAAGTAAAATGTTTTTGAATAATTCAAATCGGACCCTTTATTATCTTAAAAACTGAAATACCATTTTTGGCACTTTTAGTGCCATATGTTTGAAACGGCTAGAGCTGCCCCTGGTAAAAACTAAACCAGATTTTGAATCATTCAAATCAGTTGATCCGTTTTCTCGAAATCGTCGACGAAGAATTGAATCCGCATATACACACACATACATCCATATTACTTTATTGCATAAAGGCATTTCCTTCGCTATACAAAAAAGTAGGGTAAATGTTATAGAAATCGCAAAAAAATCGAAAATGATTTTTTATATATCTTTACGTTTCAAAGACTTCTGAGCATTAGAAACTTTGAAAAAATTGATGTGTGTGTGAGTTCGGATACAAATTATCGTCGATAAAAGGAAAAAGTAAGAAAACATGCCATTTGGCAGTCAAAAATGATCACTAGACATATGTACTTCAAATTATCAAATATTTTATACAGATTTTAATAATGAGCACAAATTTCATTAACATTTCGCACCAATGATTATCCATTAGACTGCGACGAGGCGCTTACGCGCTTTCTTCTCTAAAACAGACAACAGGATGAATGCTTTGAAAAAAGCTTAGAATTTCAAAAAGTTCCAAAATATAAAACAATTCAAATTTTTCAAAAGATTCCGTTTTTTACAAAAATTTCAAAACTCAAATCAATTTTTTTCAAAGTTTAAAACAAAAAATCGGTACGGTAAGTTCCTTCATATGGTAAAATTCATAAATCATGTGTTCGATCGCCGTAATAAATTTTCAATCCCAAAACCTTATATTATTTTCTATAAACCATAGATCTTAAATTTCTTATTTTTTATACAGAAATTTAACTATATTATATATAGATGCTGGGAATTAAAAATTAAATATAAATATGAAAATGGAATATACAGAATATAAATATTAATTATAAATATTGAATATAAACATAAATAAAGGGTAGAGCTGGACCTAAAGCTCCGCGGGTAAGATGTCCGCTTTATTTACGTTATTCAATTGTTTTATGATATGCATTGTTAGTTTTATCTTAAATTTAACAGATTTTTTATATAAACCTTATCCAGGAGATAAATTAAATTAATAGTTATTCCAACTCTGTTGATGCTCATGAAATTTGTATGGGAAAACCCCTCTCAATTAAAAATGATACATTTGAAGTGTTTGCCACAGAGATAAACGGGGACAGATGGAAAAAAAATGGCAAACAAATATATTTGCAATTTCTATATTTAGGCAATAAGTGGGAAATTTTCATGACATATCTCGATAGTTGATTGTTGATGTTTGTTTACCAAAAAAAAGCAAATACAGTAGAACCTCGATTATCCGGACCTCGGTTATACGGATTCGCGATTATCCGGACATAATCGCGTCGGAACTTGCATATTCCGCCCGCGCCGCTGTTTTGCTGCCCCGCGCCTCATTATCGCTTTATGTAGTTCGTTTGCAATTTTACTAGTGGCTTCTGACGTGCATATATACATTTTTAAAGGGTGGTGTTATCCCTTAAAGATGAAATAAATATTATAGAATCATTAAAAAAAGGCGAAACCGGCCGTAAGTTAGCTGATAGGTATGGTGTAGGTACATCTACTATAAGCTATATTAAAAAATTGCCGATTCAATTTTGTCGTACAGTTGCAAGTTAGATAGTGAAGAGGGGAGTGAGAATCGAAAAATGATGAAAAGACCGAAAAATTAACTCTTGGAAGAAGCTTTATATTGTTGGTTCTTACAAAAACGATATACAGGACAGCCGATATCTGTGAAAATGCATTACAGTTAAATGAAAAATTAGGCGACGAAGAATCGTTTGTGGCAAGTAGTGGATTGATTTTTGTTGATATCTATGTATGTATTTGTTATTTTTGATAAACAAAACATTATTATTCATAATTTGGATTATCCGGATTTTCGATTAACCGGATGCCTATCGACAACAATTAGTCCGGATAATCGAGGTTCTACTGTATATGAATTTATTCATTACCAAATTTTAGCGAATCTCGCAAGTCGCATATTGATGCGTATAATGCAGTATTCAAACGTACCAATATACTATTTCTAACGAAGCTAACGATTACCACTTGTTCGAACTATATTAGAATTTTAGGCAGACAGTTATGAGTTTAAATTTATAATTTATAAAATAACTGTTTCTAATTTCAATATATTTTATTTATATATTTTGTATACTTACCAGCATATGTTCAGAGCTCTGCACTGGTTGGAATCCAACAAAAGATATCTGCATCGACAATATTGTTCCTACACAATATACAGTACTGTAAGCAACGTATACACGATGGCCAAATCTGCCAGTTAGCATTAAACACAAAACGTGTAAGGGTATCAAGTTGATTAGGAACACGTAACCTCCCCAGGAAGAAACCTGTAAGTTAGAAGAAAGCAATGATAATAAATATTATTTGATAGACTGTAAACATATAATAATATTGAATTATCAATTTGAAGTTTAATAGTGTGTACTAAAGGACTATAGCTTAATACTACTTTGAAGGAGAACATTGTTTTCCCGAAAAAACTTGGCAAGAACACGTAATGATTATTATTAATTCCCCGTAGGGTAAGTTATAGTAATCGCAAAAAAATCAAAAATATTTTTTTTTGCATATCTTTACTCTCGAAGATTTCTGAACATTTTGGCATACCTCAGAAAAAATTGATGTGTGTATTGATATATGTTTGGATACAATTTTTCGTCGACGATTTCGGGCGCATTAATCAACCGATTTGAATGGTCCAAAAAACATTCGATTCCTATTGATATGAAGACGTGCTGATAAGTTTTTGGTGAAGACGGGTTTAGCCGTTTCGGAGATATGGGGCACAAAGTCCCGAAACCGAAAAAAGTAAAAAAAAACGATATTTGCTGGTCAAAAATGAACATTAGTCGTATGTGCATCAAGTTATCAGATATTTTTGATAAAGTTTTTAGATTCTAAAAACTTTAATTACTTATAATAAGTACTAATTTTTAACTTCCCCGTAGGGCAAGTTATAGTAATCGCAAAAAAATCAAAAATGAAAATTTTTATATATCTTCACGTTTCAAAGGTTTCTGAACATTTTGGCATACCCTAGAAAAAATGGATGTATGTGTGTGTGTGTGTGTGTGTGTATGTACGTGTGTGTATGTATGTGCGGATACAAATTTTCGTCGACGATTTCGGGAACACGGATCAACCGATTTGAATAATTCAAAAAACATTCGATTTGTAACGGGGCAAAAAGTGCTGAAAACGGTAACTCAGTTTTTAAGAGAACGGAGCGTCCGATTTGAATAATTCAAAAAACATTTCACTTGTATTGACAAGATAAAAAATCGATAAAATTTTCATAAAGGTAGGTCTAGCGGTTTCGGAGATATGGAGGAAAAAGTAAAAAAATGAGCCATTTGGCGGTCAAAAATGATCATTAGACATATGCACATCAAATTATCAGATATTTTATAGAGATTTTAACAATAAGTATACATTTTGTTAACATTCCTATGGGTTCCGTACCAATGCCTATGCGTTAGACAGCGACGCGGCGCTTAGGCGCTTTATATTTTGTCTCTATGCAGTTAAAGTAGTACGATTGCTTTGAAAAAAAAAGTTCAGATCTTCCACAATATGTCAAAATAAAGAAAAAAAAAATTTTTTTTCAAAAAAAGGTAATTTTTTGTCCAATTTATAGTTTCTCAAAAATCTAATTTTTTCAAAGTAAATTTTTTTCAAAAATGTTAATCGTTTTTAAAAAAAATAATAATTTTTGGTACGGGAAGTTCCAGCAATTTGCCTTAAGGCACGATGCCTTAATTGCCTTAAGACAAAATTCCACTTACAGCTAGTTTTGTTATAATTTTGTTGGATTCCATACCAAGATTTTTAATAAAGTTCATGTATACGGTTCAAGCAAACTTCAAAATTTTGCGAAAAAAAATTCATTTTTGTTTTTAAATATACAAAGTTTTATACTTCAAATATGAATTTTAAATTTATAATTCAATTTCAAAATGTATATGTTTAAAATGCATTATTCTCATCGTAAGAAATATATCAGAGGGATTCATTCATTCTCCTCCTGCTAATGTAAACTGTATATTTTATGCACGATAAAATATATAGTGATTATAATTATCTATTTGAAAATGTATAAAACAATTGTTGTAAATCATTGATCAATTTTCATTGATTACTGATTTTTCCTCGAATATATAATTCTGGTAAATCACTAGTTTTATATTTATATTAGTTTAGATCCGCCAAGCAATTTCCTAATACTTAACATATAAGTTCAATTTTTTTTAAACTTTTTCGCTTAAAATCCCGAGTTTGAATTTTGAAAATTCAAATTAAGAAAATGTCAGTGAAAGGCCAAAGTTTGGTTCATATTAGAGGTGGGTCAACAAAACGAAACAGTTAACGGGTTTTCGTCAACTAGTTATTTTTCAACTATAGTTATTTTTAACGATTCAACGCTGGCAACGTTAAGAAACGTTTGACTGAAAGTTGGTTACATGAAGTTTGTTTTTATAAAATGTCACAATGATGTTGTCAACTGATTTGATGAAAAAAATGAATTAAATGTGAATTGTCACATTTATCATTAATACTAAGGCTTAATATAAAAAACTTGAATATTTTCGTTACAGCAAAGCCATAAATATACTAAAACAGCGAATTTACATGTTATATAAAAATAGCAAAGTTACGAAAAATAAAAAATCAATTTTCAGGTTTGGTTTATGATGAAAATATTAACCATTGAAAAACTATAATAAATGAAATTGATTTTCTAAAATTAAACGACTTGACGCTTGTTGCAGGTTTATAATCTTTTAATATGAACCCGTACATCTGCAATATTTTAATAGTAGTAGCCTAACAATAAGCGATTTTGATAGTATTAATTGATTCTTTCTGACGCCATAAACTTCTATATCGTTGAATAACTATAACTGGCCACCATGTTTTCAACTCGTTGCAAAACCTGTTGATTTTCAACTAGTTATTTCGTTGCGACGAAACGGTTGATTCGTTATTGAAGAAGGAACGGTTGAAAATAACCGTTCGCTGAATCAACGCCCATCACTAGTTCACAAACACACACAAACTTTTCTAATTTCGGTGCCAAACGATTCAGAACGACTTCAAATGTCGGGAAAAAAAGGTTAGCAAACGGTTTTTTTAGCAAAAAAAGTAAGCAATTGGTATGCAACTTAAAGCGGAGTTTGCGCTTTAAACAAATGCATAAAATTTTATATTCGTTAAGTAATATATTCGAGTAAAGTAAGCAATGCTGAACTCACATTTAAAAACTGAAGCCATATAGTATAATAAAAGCTCGTTCATATATAAGTTTCTATTTGTTCATAAACCCACATATGCATTATCATTGATCAAGAAATTTCTGTTTTCTATTATAACCAATTATCGTCATACCAACCATGTAAAAATATGCTAAAGCAGTCATTGTGGACCAAAATATGTTGCCCGTTTTTATGGCCTTAATCCACATGTAATAAGTCAACAGCATGCAAAATATTGCAATGCCTTCGTTATCATAGCTTCCCGCAACAGATCTAGAAATGTAACCAGGGACAATAGAAATCATTGCAGCAGCCACTAAACCTGCACCTGAATCCTGAAATATAAAAATTGTGTTAATTACACGCCAAGTATTACAATATTACAAATAAGTTTGTATGTTAGTTTTTTCTTTAAGGCAAGTTGCCTGAACTTCCGAATACGTATAAATAATAAATTAGTGGTGTATGACATAGTGCCTTAAAACATATTGCTGGAACTTCCCGTAACCTAACGAAATGATCGAGGAATATTAAATGTTTTCAAAGAGATTATTATGAATATTGTAAACATTGTCTAATATTTATAAGAAATATATAAATTGAATTGCAAAGTTAAAAATATTTATTTGAAGTATATAAGTGAACTTATACCTATATAAGTTAAAACTAGCTGTAAGTGGAATTCTGTCTTAAGGCAATTGAGGCATCGTGCCTTAAGGCAAATTGCTGGAACTTCCCGTACCAAAAATTATTGTTTTTTTTAAAACGATTAACATTTTTGAAAAAAATTTACTTCGAAAAAATAAAATTTTTGAGAAACTATAAATTGGTCAAAAAATTACTTTTTTTTGAAAAAAATTTTTTTTTTCAAAATAAAATTTTTTTTTTTATTTTTTTTTGAAAAAAAAAATTTATTTTTTTATTTTGACATATTGTGGAAGATCTGAACTTTTTTTTCAAAGCAATCGTACTGCTTTAACTGCATAGGGACAAAATATAAAGCGCGTAAGCGCCGCGTCGCCGTCTAACGCATAAGCATTGGTACGGAACCCATAGGAATGCAAACAAAATGTATACTTATTGTTAAAATCTCTATAAAATATCTGATAATTTGATGTGCATATGTCTAATGATCATTTTTGACCGCCAAATGGCTCATTTTTTTACTTTTTCCTCCATATCTCCGAAACCGCTAGACCTACCTTCATGAAAATTTTATCGATTCTTCATCTTGTCAATACAAGTAAAATGTTTTTTGAATTATTCAAATCGGACGTTCCGTTCTCTTAAAAACTGAGTTACTGTTTTCGGCACTTTTTGCCCCGTATCTTCGGAACGGCTAGACCTGCCTTCGCCAAAAACTAATCAGCACGTCTCCTTATCAATACGAATCGAATGTTTTTTGAATTATTCAAATCGGTTGATTCGTGTTCCCGAAATCGTCGACGAAAATTTGTATCCGCACATACATACACACACGTACATACACACACGTACATACATACACACACACATACACACACACATACACACACACACACACACACACACATACATCCATTTTTTCTAAGGTATGCCAAAATGTTCAGAAACCTTCAAAACGTAAAGATATATAAAAATTTTCATTTTTGATTTTTTTGCGATTACTATAACTTGCCCCTACGGGAAGTTAATTATTTATTTAAAGTATATTAGAACAGAATTAAAAGTAAAATATGAATTATTTTCGATATACAAAAAAAAATAATGAAAAAAATCGGGCGCTTAGTTCTCTCAAAAACTGCCATTTTTTGCACTATTAGCTCTTTATCTTCGAAATGGCTCTACCTGCCTTTACTAAAAACTACTTTACTTTAAAGCCCCAATATATAAAATGTAATCTCGCAAATATGTAAAATGCCATCTCGCTGCAAGATGGCTTCAAATACAACATTTAAATCTCGAGCAAAATAAAGAACGACCATGCTTTTTCATATCTAGCTTAATATTGTTCCTAAAATGTATATTTTTGGAGATATTCGCAAAAAGAAAATTTTTTTCGCAAAAAAAGTAATTTTTTTTAATAAGATTAAAATTTGTGAAAAAATTAGATTTTCGAGGAATTTTAAATTTTTGACAAAAATTTACTTTTTTCGAAAAAAAAGACTTTTTGAAAAAAAAGTTTTCTTCAAAGAAATCGTACTGCTTTAACTGCATAGAGACAAAATATCGAAGCGCATAAGCGCCGCGTCGCTGTCTAAGGGACAAACGATGTTACGGAACCCATAGAAATGTAAACAAAATTTATACGTATTATTAAAATCTCCATAAAATATCTAATAATTTGATGTGCCTAAATCTAACGATCATTTTTGACCGCTAAGTGGCGTTTTTTTTACATTTTTTTACTGGATCTCCGAAAGCACTTGACCTGCCTTTCCAAAAATTTAATCAGTTCTTCATCTTGTAAATACAAGCAAAATGTTTTTTAAATTATCAAAATCAGACGCTCCGCGCTCTTAAAAAGATTTTGGCACTTTTTGCCCCGTATCTTCGGAACGGCTAGGCCTGCCTTTGCCAAAACTAATCAGCACGTCTCCTTATCAATACGAATCGAATGTTTTTTGAATTATTCAAATCGATTGATCGGTGTTCCCGAAATCGTCGACAAAAATTTGTATCCGCACACGCAAACACACACACATACATACATTTTTTCTAAGATATGCCAAAATGTTCAAAAACTTTTGAAACGTAAAGATATATAAAAATTTTCATTTTCGATTTTTTTGCGATTACTATAACTTACCCTACGGGAAGTTAATAAACATTTTATTTATCCTGTGGCAAAACTGAGAAACCAAGTTGAAGTCCTATGAACTAAAACTAAATATATATACGATATATATATATATATATATATATATATATATATAATAATAAACTAGTTGAAAGTGGCATTTAGCCTTAAGGCAAGTTGCATGAACTTCCCGAAAAGTGTAATAATTGCCTTAATCAATCGAAATTGATATTTAGATTTAGATAAAATTAGTCAACTGTTTATTTCAAAAGTAAAGTTATGGCTTTCAATTAAATCTAAACATTGTGGCCCTAAAATTGTGGCTTATTATTTTAAATTTTAATGAATTGATAACGTTTTTACTCATCACATCACACAAGCAACTTTTGATACAAATTTTGACTATAATATTTTCTCAAATTTTGATAAATTCTTTACATTAACCCTTTCGACTAGGATGCCGCCGCTCCGGACTACCCTAATAAATCTCGGAATTTGCGAGTGGAAAGTGTTAAACTATTTGTCCTAGTGCTGTAACATTTTAGTATGTTCATGATATCTATTGCCAAAAAAAGGTTAATAAAAATCAGCAATTTTTTTTCAACAGTTAATTTCAAGAAAACGGCTCAGTAGATTTTTGCCTAAAACTAATCAGTATCATTCCCAACAAATATCTTTCGAAAAGTTGTTGATTTTTTTAAATCGATTCAGAATTGAGATCTAAAACATAAACGAACATTTTTTCACTTTTCTACTATTTATCCGATCGTCGCACAAAGCTGAGAAAAGATAATCCACATCGAAATACATCGACTGGCTTTAATTTTAGAAAACGGTTCAGGCGTTTTTGAGAGAACGTCGATTTACGGTAAAAAATGTGTTCACATACAGACACACACACATACGTTTCCAAATTCGGTCTCATTCCATTCAGAATGGCTTGAAACGTCGAGAAAACAAAATTAGCGAATCGGATTTTTTGATGAAAACATAAACTTCTTCTTCAGGAAATTAAGTACAGCATACTAAATTATACAGGTGGAAGCCTTTCGTATAATAGTTTATGAAGTTCAAACATACCCGTAACTCCTTTGTCAATAAATATGTGACTATAGTGGTCAGTGAAGAGAAAAATGGTGCCAAGAACACGCAGACATTTCTTATATTAATCGTTATGTTAAAAGACCATAACAAATTATATAACGATGCAGCTGTCACCATCAATCCAGGATATATTGTACCTAAAACAAATTTCAAAAGATATAGCTAATAACATAATAAATTAACGTTGATTTTTATTGATAAAATTTCAGTCGCAATCTCAAAATCATTATTTAAATAATTTAAATTCAATATATTGAATCAATTAAAATTATTTGATTTTTAATTTCTGAACTATGTATTGACTATTTGCAGTCAAGGATAGAAATGTCGCATTTTTTCTTGAAGCAGTGTTTAACATAAGATCAAAATTTTACAGAAATTAAGTCTATGGAATTTTGTCATATTTTGAAAAATTTTGACACGCTATTCAGAAACCACATGTTTATTTCGTTCAGGGTCGAATAGTATCACTCAGCAAACCTTCTTTTAAATAAGTTCTCTTCAAAATGAAAAATTTTTGGAGTAAAAAAATATGTTGTATATATATATATATATATATATATATATATATATATATATATATATGTATATGTATGCGTGTGTGTGTGTGTGTGTGTGTGTGTGTATAAATCTAGAGTACGTGTATTGTCACTATACTGTTCCTAAACGGATATTCAAATTTTGATAAATAATTTCGGAGTGTTCCAATCAATGCATATACAAAAGAGGAGTGGTTCTGAATTGAATAAATATAGTAATAATGAAGAAAAAAGTGGAAAATTGGGAACAAAATCATTGTTTTACACTTGAGATGAGCCAAAATGTCAATTCACTTAAAATTTGAATTTAAATGATGAATAAAATGAACTTTAATGTAAGAAAAATGTAATTTGAAATTTGTTAATCCCAAAATGTAAACTAAGATGTAATAGGGATTAAAGTATTGAAAGCAAATAATAAATTACATTTGATAAATTCTAAGTTAGAAAAATGTAATTGATGACATAAGCAACTGAGATATTATATGGCAAAGATTGAAATATTGAAAAATAGTAAAATACATTCAAATGATAGTTGTGGAAATAACACACTATAGTCGGGCAGCTTATTTTTAACTTTGCTTAAGATAACTTATAGTACTTTACTAATCGCAAATCAAATCGAAAATGTAATTTTTTGCATATCTTTACGTTTCAAAGGTTCCTGAACATTTTCGCATACTTTGAAAAAAAAATTGTGTGTGTGTGTTCGGATACAAATTTTCGTCGACGATTTCGTGAACACGGATCAGCCGATTTGAATAATTCAAAAAACATTCGATTCATATTAACGGGGAGACATGCTTAGGGTTAGTCAAAGACAGATGCACCCTTTCGAAGATGCGGTGCAAAAAGTGCCAAAAATAGTAATTAGTTTTTGGGATTCAATTTAATTGAATGAAAAAATATTTTATTAACTTTCCGTATGGTAAGTTATAGTAATCAAGCCCCCAAGAACTCACTCATATATAAATATATATATATATATATATATATATATATATATATATATATATCTACATATATATAAAAATAAGTCGGGTTTTCCTTCCTGACGATATAACGTTTGGAAAAAATTAAAGAGTAACTTCTAAATCTTTGCCTTTTATTTGATGTATTGCCCTTGAAGAACTTACTCATATATATATATATATATATATATATATATATATATATATATATTTGTCGCTAAATTATACCTAAAGAAACATTTTATAAAATTTTCAAAGTTTTTTCCATTCTATTTTCATACAAAGCTTTGATCAAATTGCGCACTATTCAAAAGTTAATATTAAGAGTTAAAACTTTTAGAATTTTTTTTTTATCAATTTCGAAGCATTTGAGCCCTTGGAAGCAAAGAAATTCAAAAATGTCCATATTAAGGACCACCCTAATTATATATATATATATATATATATATATATATATATTTGTAAATGTATATATTATATTTGAATTTGAAGATGTAATATATTTTATTTGAGATTAAAGATCGGGCGTATCATCAATAAAAAATAGTAAAAGCATTTATTCAGTCCAATCAATATAACTATGGAAATTAAAACTAAGTAAATAATATGTAGAAAATTTTAAAGAAAAACAATGATAAAAAACACTTACAATTTGCTATCCTTATATAACAGATAAAAACATTATTACTCTGTGGTATAAGTATGTGCACAGTAGTACAATATATATTTTTCAACATTACAAATGGCAAATCACAAATAAACATGTTTAATAAATAGTTAGAATTTATATAGAATTGTCACTAAATGAGGGCTAAAATGCTAGCAGAAACATATGGATTTTATATAAATTTCTGAAAATGTTCATACTATTTTTTATTCATGTAACGCCCAATCTTTAAATTTAAACAATATATGTATATATATATAATATATATATATATATATATTTATGATATATATTTATATATGAGATTCACCTCCTATAATCCTTCCTAGCGGATACCATGCTCGGTCATCAAACCAATTGTGAAAACTATAAAATCCATTATCAGCTAAATACTTGGTTGTACGGTAATTGAAATATGGATCAAATTCATGTATGACACTTTCAAATCGTAGTACAGAAAACAATCTGGTCGCAAATGCTGCAACAAATAACATAGTAAAAACAAACATGAATAGCAAACAGTAATGTGGGTGTTACTAATCATATAAATTTATTACTCACATAATACTGCGGCTATAGTTAAAATACTTAATTTTAATAAAGTTTCCTGTTTTTCAGGACTCATACGAAATCCCGCATTCTCCACTTTCGTTTCACCCATCGCGTTTATTTATATGATATAATTTTTAAATTGATTTAGTGTAAATTTGACGTCCTTTTAGAATGTCTGTACACTAATTGATATCATTCCATCTCCATTATGACTACAGGAATCAAGTATAACAATTTCTGATCTTAGTTACTCAAAATGTGCAATTTGTACAAACGGAGAGCATAATTTTTAGCATTTTTATGAATGAACAAAAGCCGGCATTTTACACGTATATTGTCATAGATAAACAAGTATTGTAATCAACAATGACGGACGAGACCGTAGATGCGCCGTGTACAGTGTCGCCAATGTTGAAAACAATTTTCTTATGACTTGTGAAACAGCGCCATATGTGAACGTCTCGCGCAGCAGGATTAACTTTCATTCATTCATAGATAAGTAAACATAAGCTTTCATTCATCTATGTTTCCATATTTTGATTCCACTGATTCCGCTTATTATTAACACGGCTGTGTATCTACTATTCATTTATCTATGCCTGTTTATTTGAATGCGTCCCGAAGGAGACGCTTGAGAAACAAATTCTTCAGTAAAATATAGATAAAACTAGTGGGGCGCATAGCATCGTGCCTTAAGGCAACTTGCTGTAACTTTTCGTACCAAAAACTATTTTTTTTTTAAAAAGATTAACATTTTCGAAAAAAAATTACTCTGAAAAAATTAGATTTTTGAGAAATTATAAATTTTTGACAAAAATTTACTTTTTTGAAAAAAAAAGACTTTTCGAAGAATCATGTATTTTGAAATATTTTGGAAATTCTGAACATTTTTTTTCGAAGCAATCGTACTGCTTTAACTGCATAGAGACGAAATATCGAAGCGCGTATGCGCCGCGCCGTCGTCTAATGGATATAAGCATTGGTACGGAACCAATAGGAATGTAAACAAAATTTATACTTATTGTCAAAATCCATAAAAAATATCTGATTTGATGTGCATATGTTTAATGGTCATTTTTGACCGCCAGATAGCTTTTTTTTACTAGATCTCCGAAACCGCTAGACCTGCCTTCATGAAAATTTGATCAGTTCTTCATCTTGTTAATACAAGTAATTATTATAATTATTCAAATCGGACGCTCCGTTCTCTTAAAAGTTACCGTTTTTGGCACTTTTTGCCCCATATCTTCGGAACGGCTAAACCTGCCTTCACCAAAAACTAATCAGCACATCTACTTATCAATACTAATCGAATGTTTTTTGAATTATTCAAATCGCTTCAGCCGTGTTCCCAAAATCGTCATCGAAAATTTGTATCCACATACACAAATATTATAACAAGTTAAGAATTATAACATTCTAGATCCTCCCCCCACGAAGTAATGCCTAACGGCGGTTTCCATGGGGACCAGAGGCAAGGGCAAAGCGGAGGTTTTAGTCGGTATTATACCAGGGCGGTATCGAGTACGACATACCCAGACAGAAAAGGCATTTCCTTACATGCATTTTTTCTAAGATATGCCAAAATATTCAAAAACCTCTGAAACGTAAAGATATATGAAAGTTTTCATTTTCGATTTTTTTGCGATTAATAATACGGGAAGTTAATAAACCGTAGCAACGCCAATTATAATCTAGTGATGCATACAGTGGCGGATCCAGCTTCGGCGTCAGGGGGGGGTCATAATTGAAAAGTTTTTATAGTCCTCAATGAGTATGTAACAAATTTAATATATATATATATATATATATATAATATATATAATATATATATATATATATATATAATATATATATATATATATATTAGATAAAACGGGGCTTAAAGATTCGCGGGTAAAAAGGTCCACCACCGATGTCTCAAAAACAAGTAAAGTTCAGGATTTCTTAACAACAATATTCGAAAGTAGAGGGAAAAATGTACAACCAGCCATCACCCTGATTCTTACGACGTTAAAAAAGCATTTTCACAAGAGATAAATTAAACAATTATTTTATTCAACTCCGCTGGTGAATATTGTGGACAAAATATCAAATCAAGGTTATTTACAGAGTTATCTCTGTAAAAAATGTATCTATAAAATTTATATTTTTCATTGGTTGAATAATGTAACTATTATTTCGTTAAATCCCTTTAAAATTAAAAATAGTAAATTGTATTGTTTGTCCTCTCGCCGATTTTATCCCGCCTATGGGGGACAATTTTTTTTAAAAACAGCAAAAAAACACATTTTTACAGTGATGAATTAGCTGAAAGTTGTACTAAATTCTTCTTGGTCTTATGGTTTGTTAGGTTTTTCGTTTAGTTTTCACAATATAATTGCTCAAAGTTAAATTGTACCCGCCTAACCTTATATATTAACTAGGTGGTATTGGTATTTAGCCTTGAGGCAAGTTACATGAACCCCGATATGTGTAAATAATCGACTTAATCAATAAAATATAAATTAATTTATGAGTGTTAAAAGTATTCCGAGTGGATTTATTACACATAATTGAAAACGAACGAACACTTTGACTCAGAGTATTTTCTAAAAGCAAATTTTCAAAAATCAATAATTTTTATAATGAACCAGTTTCCATAGGACTTTAATCGACTTAGTATGTTCATTAAACCAAGTACTCTATCGTTATACTAAGTAAATCATCTAATTTCAATTTTAACAAACGTCAACAAAACTACTCATTTACTCAAACTTTGATGATTTTTAAAATTAAACTACTTGTCGTAAGGCCGTAATATTTCAGTAAGTTCTATAAGACCATGATATACATCTCCAAAGAAAGTTTCATAAAAATCGGCTTAATTTTTTTTTTTAGCAGTTAATTACAAGAAAACGGCTCGGTAGATTTTCACCTAAAACTAATCAGTATTATTCCCAACTAATATCTTTCGAACAGTTTTTGATTTTTTATTTTTTTGATTGGACAAAAAGTTTAACACTCTTTTTCAAATTACAAAGAAACTGCTTGGCAGATCGTCTCACAAAACTGACAAACTATAGTGCTCATTGAGATACATCGAATGGCTTTTAAATTTCTGAAATCGATTCAGGCGTTTTTGAGCAAACGTCGATGAAAGGTCTAATTTTGACAAATGCCAAAAAAAACGATACCAATTTGTGCAAACGAATTTTTAAAGTTAAAGGGTTGTGTCGTAGGGCCGTAATATTTTAGTATGATCTAGAAGACTGGTGTTTACCGTCAAAAAAATCATAAAAAACCGTCGATTTTTTAAAAAAAAACTTTATTATAAGAAAACGGCCGATCGATCTTTACCAAAACTAATCAGCACGATTCCCAACCATATCTTTCGAACGGTTTTTGAATTTTCAGAATTGTAAACTAAAACGTGGACGAAAAAAAATTCACTTTTCTGCTATTTATAAAGAAACGGCTTGGACGATCGTCGCACAAAAATTTTTGAAATCGGTCGAACCGTTTTTGAGAAAATGTCGATTTACGGCAAAAATTCTGTTCACATACACGCACACACACACCCACACACACATACTTTTTCTAAATTTGGCTCATGCGAATCAGAATGGCTTGAAACGTTGAGAAAACATAAATTAGCGAATCGGATTTTTTTATGAAAACAAACTTCTTCGGGAAGTTAAAAATAATCTGCGTCTTTGACGTGAGTCAAAATTTGACCTTTTCTCGACGTTTTCTCGTCTGGACCGATGTTCAAATTAAGAACTATAAAATGAAACTGGATAAGCCCTTGCGTTGATTAGTTTTTTAGACAATGGTCGATCCGTTTCTTTACTATTGACAGAAAAGTGCAAAAATTATCGTCCATGTTTTTGTCAAAAATTTTGAACCGTTTTTGCTTAAACTATTCGATTTATATCATTTGGAAATAAATGGTTTCTAGCGAAGATCGGTCAAGTCGTTTCTTTTTCATAATAGATTTGTCATTTCTATTTGCATGGCGATAGAGTTTTTGCTCTAAATGAACGTGCTAAACTATGGCATGACAAGTGGCTTACTTATGATAATTAAAGTTTGGATTATTTGGCCGCGCTTTTAAAAAATTCACCGTGTGTATGTATTCGGCTTCGTATTTCGTATGTGCTCGTTTTCCATCAATGTGTAATATTCAAACCATTTTTTTCAAAAAAATAATTACTATATTTGAAAAAAAAACAATTTGCAATCGTTCCTCTTTCAAAATGGTTTACAGCTATTAGGTATACTTCTCTAAATCAGTCATTATAAACTTCCCATAGGGTAGTTATAGTAATAGGCCGAAAATCTAACGTTTTGAAGGATTCTGAACACTTTGGCATACCTCAGATAAAATGGATGTGTGTGTGTGTTTTGTTTGTCCGCATTTTTTCGTCCACGTTTTCGGGCGCACGGATTAACCGATTTGAATGGTTCAAAAAACATTCGATTCTTATTGATAGGGAGATGTGCTGATTAGGTTTTGGTAAAGACAAAGGTCCAGCAGTTACGCAGATACGGAGCACAGAGTGCAGAAAATACAAATCGAGTTTTTGAGAGAACAGAGTATTCGATTTGAATGAATGAGCGAATTTGAAATTTCGGATGAATGATTTTTTTCCCTAAACTGTAATAAAACATATATTTGCAATACGATTAGAAAATCCTTAAATTTTAGGGTTTTTGACTCCCCCATTCGTCTACAATCAGTTAAATATTCAAGTTATAAAATGTGTTTGGTAAAAAAATACATAAATGAAATAATTATGAAGTAATTTTGTTGTTGAATTAATGTTTTATCTAAGTCCTAAGAGAGGCCCAGGGGGGGGTCATGACCCCCGTGACCCCCCCCCCTGGATCCGCCACTGGATGCATAATCGTGCCATCATGCCCCTAGCCAGAGTCTAGACAATATTAGAAAATGATGGATTGATTTATTCATGATTGATTATGCCTTAAGCATACGCCGAAACTTTCCGTACCGGAAATTAAAATTATTAAATAACCTTCAAACATTTTTATAGACTTGGAACAAATTATATTTTTTGAAAAAATTTTGAATTCTGTATTTGAAATTTGATATTCTTGAAAAAAGTTTACTTTCTTGAAAAGTTTCAAGTTTTTTTTTAATTCTAAATTTTTAACTTCCCGTAGGGTAGTTATATTATTGGGTCGAAAATCTAAATTGAAAATTTTTGCATAACTTCACGTTTTGAAGGTTTCTGAACATTTTGGCATACCTCAGAGAAAATGGATGTGTGTGTGTTTTTTTTGTATAGCAAAGAAAAAGCTTTTATGCATCAATGCATCCCAGACTGCTCTTTTGTCTGGGTTCTGGGTATATCGGACTCAATACCGCCTGGGTATAATATACCGACTAAAACCTCCACTTTGCCCCTCTGGCCCCTGCAGAAACCTCCGTTAGGCACTACTTCGTGGGGCAAGGATCTAGAATGTAATCATTCTTACCTTGATTTTATATTTTTATTTTAACTGAACAATGTCCCATTTGCCCATTCTCTTTCCATAGAACGAAGATCAATTAGCACATCTCTCGCAAATCTGTCTATGGCGTTCCAAGCAGCTAAAGATACCAGAATCACTTCAAAAACAGTATCTGGAGTAATTCTTCGCCTCAATATCTCTTCTACATCGTCCCGTAGAGCGCTAAATAGCGGGCGCGCTCTTGTGTGTGTGTGTGTGTGTGTTTAATGTCCGCATTTATTCGTCTACGTCCTATTGATAGGGAGAAATGCTGATTAGTTTTTGGCCACGGCAGGTCTAGCCGTTACGGAGATACGGAGCAAAGAGTACAGAAAATAGAAATACAGTTTTTGAGAGAACCGGGCATCCGATTTGAATGATCCAAAAAACATTCAATTTATAATAACGGATAGAAGAGGTTTTAGGCAAAGGCAGGTCCAGCCGTTTTGGAGATACCGAGCAAAATGTACAAACAATGGCAGTTTTTGAGAGAACTAAGCATTCGATTTGAATGATTTAAAAAACTTTCTGCTTGTTTTGACAAAATAATTGCTTTTGGAAAAAAAATTAATTTTTTTTTTTGTATATCGAAAATAATTCAGATTTTAATTTTAGTTCTGGCTAAAGTTCTAAAAATCATTTTTATACTTTGAATAAATAATTTTTACTTTGTAATTCAGTTTATGCAATTCTTATAAATATTAGACAATGTTACATTATTTATAATAATCTATTTAAAAACATTTAATATTCCTCGAACATTTCGTTACGGCACGGGAAGTTCCAGCAATTTGCTTTAAAGCACGATACCATACACCACTAGTTTTTCAAAGCAATAGGGCTGCGTTGGCTGTGTAGAGATAAAATATCGCAAGCGCTGAGCCGCGTCTGACTAGTGGACGAACATTGGCATGGGGTGTATATATAAATCTGAACAAACTTATTAAAATGTCTGATAATTTCACATGTATATGTCAAATGATCATTTTGAACGGCCAAATGGATTTTTTTGACTAGCCGTAGGGCAAGTTATAGTAATCGCAAAAAAATCGAAAATGAATTTTTTTAAATATATCTTTACGATTCAAGCGTTTCTGAACATTTTGGCATACCTTATAAAAAATGAATGCATGTGTGTGTGTGTGCGGATACAAATTTTCGTCGACGATTTCAGAAACACGGATTTGAATAAACAACCGATTTGAATAATTAAAAAAAACATTCGATTCTTATTGATTAAGATACGTGCTGATTAGATACAGAAAAAGAAGAACCGATTATGGTAATTCAGTTTCTGAGAGAACGAAGCGTCCGATTTGAATACTTCAAAAAACATTTTATTTGTATTGACTAAACGAAGAACTGTTCAAATTTTTGGAAAGGCAACTTTAGCGGTTATGGACTCTCAATTAAAAAAAGTAAAAAAAAAAAGCCATTTGGCGGTCAAAAATGATTATTATGATTTAGACATATACACATCACATTATCAGATATTTTATAGAAATTTTAATGTCTATATACATTTTGTGTAATTTTTTTTTTGGTTCCGTACCAAAATTTTTAATTTTAAAATTCACATATATGGTTTAAACAAATGTCCTCGACATTTTCAACAGTATGGAATAACCAATTTGTATTATTGAAAACCATTCGGTGCTCGATCGTGAGCCGTTTTTATAAAAGGCACATTTTGCCGTTCCGGAAGCATGGAGCGCAAAGGGTGTAAAAATGGTTATGCAATTTTTGAAAGAACTTATAATCCGATTAGATTAATTCAAAAAAAACCTTTTAGCGTGTGTAGATGGTGTGCAAAAATGGTTTCACAAAATATTTCGTAGTTTTGAAAATTTAAAAAAAAAATCAAAACTTTCACAAAAAAAAAAAAAGAAATAATTAAATTCTTATCATTTTGAAAAAAAAAATCTAAATTTCGAAAAATATCAAAATTAAAAAAGAAAACTATTTCTTACAAAAATTTGAAAATATTTCAAAATTTCAAAAAAAAAAAAATCGGATATTTTCAAAAATTTCCAAATTCTCAAAAAATTTCGAACTTTTAAAATATTTCAAAACTATCAAAAAATTCAAATTTAAAAAAAAAAAGAAGAAATTTCTTATAAACATATGCATAAGTTGTTTGTAGAATACGCTCTCCGCCCAATAACCACTTATAAATTTACAGTATGTATGTATAAGAAATAATCTATTGGAAACTATTTAAAACAATTATTGATTATTTCCATTCCTCAAATTTTTTATTACGGTATGGGAAGTGGCACGATGCCATACACCCCACTAGTGTTTACTTTTTTATTGGATCACCGAAATCACTAAACCTGCCTTTCTAAAAATGTAATCAGTTTTTTATATTGATAATACTAATTGAATGTTTCTTGAATCATTCAACTCGGATGCACCGAAATATAGCGTTGCCATAATACAGTCTATTTTATCTGAGAATTAGCCCCTAAACTTAAAAAAAAGTATTTGATATACTTTTTAACATAGATAAAAGAGTATGCTTAATAGTGTAGAATAAAAATCATAGAAAAAAAACAATATAAAAAAACATATACATAAGTCATTTTATATAAATTTTTTCATAATTTTATATAAAAGTGTACTAAAACATATTTCTTAAATAAATATAAATTGAACTTCCATCAAGTATCAATATTTCATATAAATTAATTTCATGCTAGTCTTGATAATATTTTAGAAGTATTAGTGTACCTAAGTAATTCATATATAATACAGTTAAATAATTTTAAAGAGTGGCACTTAATTTTAAAACACAGGTAAGCTCAAAAATACTGAAATTTATTGATAAATTCCAGTTAGCGTTTCTAATGATTTGATGAGTGATGCATTATATTCCTTATAATTTACAGGTCCAATTGACACAACAGTTGATTTAATCTTGTAAGTATCCTAGAAGAAACAGAATATTAATAGAACCATAGATTAACAATTGAATATATAATACAATTCTTAAACTTTTGGATTCTAAATTTTAGTTTCAGTATGTGTTAATTCAATTTACAAACTATACATTTGAGATATGAAAATACGACAGGATAATAATAAAATCCCTATATATTGGTTGTATAATATAAATTTAATTTAAAAAGAATAAATCCTCAAATACATTATAATCTGCCAAATTATATTAATTAATAATCAATCACGCGATTTTGATGCAGATCATAACCTTGACGCAAACTAGAAAATAATATAAACCGGAAAAGAGTTAAATATTTGAACAACTATAATTTATTAAACAGTACTTACTCCATAAAATTCCATTTTGTTCCTTAGTTTCATAACATGTGTAGTAAATGCAAGTTTTGAAAAGAAAGCTTCCGAAGCTGATGTATCATTTTCATTATCAATTAGTTCACCAACTTCTTGTGCAGACTTTCCAAGTAAAGTTTCAGCTGTATCGTTAAAACATGTGACCCACCTACTGCCTGACCAGTCACCAATATTCACCTGTGATAATTTTCACAAATGTTTAAGCTAGCATAAATGATTGCCAAATTATGAGAAAAATTAAGAATACTCACATTAAGCATAAGCCTATATTTGAATCTAGAGAAGTCCTGAGCACATTTCTCACACCGGAATTGTCCATTTTGTTGATCAATAACTTTTTTGTTGCAATCAGGTTGAGGACAGGCACGATAGAATGAGTTGGAATTTCTTATCAAATTTATTGATACCTACAAATAAAACATAATTTGTGTATTAGAAAATAATCAAAAGTAACATTAATCAAAAGACAATTTTAAAATCTATTTTGAAATACACAACCTCCAGCTATGTATAAAATATTTAGAATGGCAACTAGCCCATTTTCTATTACAATTAGAACCTTATTAAAAACTAATTGAAAATGGCATTTAGCCTTAAGGCAATTTGCGTGAACTTCCCGAAATGTGTAATTGACCTCCTAATCAATCGAAATTGAAACTCAGATAATTAAAAAAAAAATTTCAAATGTTTAAATTTGATATTATTGTTATAAATTTAAATGAATTTATAATTTTTGACTCATCACATCATAAAAGCGAATTTTACACAAAGTGTATGGGCGCATTGCCACATAGAATCGGCCCCACCCTGGTATTTAAATAATTTATACACGAATTTTCAATTTTGTTCCTCATCTTATGGCCGAGATATCATTGAAAATATGCCAAAGAGGCCCCTTCTTTCAAACTCACTTTTTGGCGTAACCATAAAAGATATCGAAAAAAAATTTACGAGATTCTCTAACTCATTACGTAGAACAATCGATGCCAAAAAATCATTTACTATTAGCTGAAAAAGATAAAATAATTTTTCGTTCAGTTGGACCATTTTCTAATTAGCGTTATTCGAAAGCCTATTGTTTTCTCTTCAAGTAATGCAATTATTGTTCAAATCAATTAAGTAGAACATATTGAAAATGAAAATAAAACAGAGCCTGCAATTACTTAGAGTTCGCTCGGACGCGATGCGCCCGAATCGATTCTTAACTAGTGTATGGCATCGTAACTTAAGGCAAATTGCTGGAACTTCCCGTACCGTGATGAAATATTCGAGAAATTTTAAACGTTTTCAAATATATATTATTACAAATACTATAACTTTCATTATTTTTGCTATCTTGTTATATCTGAGCAAATCAAATGTAAATCATAAATAAATTTATCTCCAGACCATTAACAATCGTCATTTCATTACGAATTCAATTTAAAAAAAATAGTTGCCTAATTTGCACAAAATTGAAAAGTGCTCCTGTATAGTCACAGCCCAAATGCATTTGCAAATAACTCTGTGCGACATTTTCACTTATACTGTGCTTAGCTTCTTGGCGGCATTTTCACATTTTTCAATAGTTTTCACAAAACTGGAAAAGTTCTCCAATACATAAACAGTCTAAAGGGTAAGGGTAAACATTTGTACCAGAGTGGCGCTTATACTGTGCTTAGCCTGGGTAATTTGTTGAATTTTTAATTTTAATCCAAAATTACAAAAATATTTTTTGAAAAAAAAAATGAGAAACAATTTTTTTTTCAAAAGCAATTATTTTGTTGAAACAAGCAGAAAGTTTTTTGAATCAATTAAATCGGACACTTAGAACTTTGTTCGGACAAAAGATGCAGAATAAAATTAAGATTAAAATGCTATATAAATGGTTAAGTGTGTTCATATAATTTTCTCGAGATTTTCCAGTTTTCCTTGAATTTTTCAATTTCAACTTGCCTGTAGGCTACACCGTGCGGAATTTGAAGTAGCGATATATAAGAAAGAACGATCTATAATACTTTACATGTTTTCTTTACGGAAGTATTGAATAGTGTGGACTGTTGGTGAAACCAAAAAAGATAAGCGATTTTCATATAATATTTAAATTTTTGAATTAAGTCTTATTAAAAAAAAAAAAAAAAAATTTTTTTTAAACACCAAATATCAAATACCAAACACTATGTTTGAAAATACATATGAGTAGTTTTTAATAATTACCTTTGCAGAAAAATAATCAGGTTTTTCTCCACTTCCTAATTGACGAATCTTTGCTTCTTTCAGCGTCATTAAAGGTGCTGATGCGTTGGAACCGAGGCCAGACCTGATAAAAGAAATGAAAGAATAGTAGGTTTTATACAAAATATATTAAGTTCTAAAAATTAATAATTAATTTTAATTTCTTACATTGCCGATAGACTTGTAGAATCGGCATTTGCACCACCGTTATCAAACCAGCCTCGAAGTTTATGGGCCTCAGGAATGTCAGGATTTATTTTCAAGCATGTTCCAGATACTGTTCCTAATGATTTTCCACCGCCAAACTCATTAAGGCGAGCTCCTTTTACAAGAATTACGGGCTGTAACGAACCATCGAAGTTTTCTGCCTCATCGCCCCACAGAGTCAAGTTAATCTGCAACAAAGAACACGGATAAAAGAAATACTAGTAATTATGTAAAAAATCGATCTTAAAATAATTTTTTTATAAAAACTAGATGTATATAACATTTTGCCTTGAGGCAATTTACATGAGCTTTTTGATATGTACAAATAATATGTCTCAATCAATAAGAATTACATTTAGCAACTTATTGAATTGTAATTGTTATGATTACACTTCTAACCTTTGTAAACTCTAAGCTATTTAAATTGCTTTTAAATTACTGGTCGATTTAGCCAACTTCAATGTCATACGACTTAAAATGTATGGAAACATCGAAAAAGCAAAAGCGAATCGGATGTTCTAGCAAAAACAAATTTCTTTCGGAAATTGTTCATAAATAATCATATATTTATCATTAAAATCATTTATATTTATGTGACAATTATTTAAATGCTATTCATATTTAAAAAAAATCTAAATTATTAGAGAATGTTTAATTACAAAACTAATTCAAAACTATTCATAAACTAATTCAAGCCACTCGTAATACTTACGCAAGCTCCGCTATTGTCTACCAATGTTAATTCTCTTTTGCGCAACTCTCTGCCAGCCTTAGAAGTCAACTGAACAACATTAGTGCAATCCTTGCAAATTCCAATTACATCTGAAATTATATATCATATACAATTAGAACAAAATAATGTAATAGTAATTTGCAACCTCATTAGATATTTTCAAGGTGACAGTATGCTGTCGACAGGTTTACATTTATGAGTATGTATTTGAAAAACAATAGTTATAAAGAACTCTCGAACGTAGTGTTTTGTAAAAGCGACCTATTAATCCAGACTTTAATTAATTTGTAGAATTAAACCACTTCCTGTAAGAGTGATATATTAGTATGTTTATTAAGACCATGTACTCTATTGCCATATAAAGTTTCATTGAAATCGTCTTTTTTTTTTAACAATTATAACTCATCAACGCATGTCCTCTCTAAGTTACATCGAATGGCTTTCAAATTTTTGAAATCGGTTCGGCCGTTTTTGAGAAAACATACATGAAAACTTTAAAACCGACACATACACATACATATTTTTTCCAAATTTGGTCTCATTTGAATCAAAATGGCTTGAAACCTTGAGAAAACAAAATTTTCTTTCAAAAATGTGATCTTTCATCATAAAGTTAAGTCGTTAAATTAAATTTGTCCAAAGTCCAAGGTTTATGTAAAAGGAAACCCAAAAAATTAGTCATTGTCTTTACTTTAAATAAAATATAAAAACATGTATTAGAAACATTTTCAAACAAATCTGTATTTAAATAAAAAATTATATAAAACCAGTGAACCAAAAGCCTGGTATGATTATCCTGTATGAAGGGGTATTTTATTTTTCATCAAAATCAATTAAGCCCTTACCTACAAAACTGTTTGTTTCCTTTTCACCAATATCTTTAATCTTAACAAATTCGTAACTGACTTCTGGCACTCCAATATCAGCATCCATACACTCAGCGACTTGAGTATCATTTGTAAACGTCATTTCATAATCATTTTTGAGGGTAGAAAATTGTTTATTCGCTGGTTTCAATTGGCATTTTGATATATAATACACCTTGTCCACCTGAAACAACAAAATATACATTAGTCTCAATGAGATATTCTTAATATTTAACTTATAGGGCTAAATTAATACAAAAATATTTATAAGCCTCAATGAATTATTTTCATAACATTCAACTTGCAGGGGTAGGGTAAATCAGTTACTTTAAGTAAGGAAATGTTATGACGAGCTATCTGAAACAAATATTGATAAAATACTCTTAACATAAGTTATTAAATTTTACATAAATTGTCAAAATATGTATATAGATAAATCAATAAATAATCTTTAACATTTAATGAAATTAAAATAGATAAGCTTAAAAAATGAATGTTATTTAAATGAATGTATTTTTAGGCAACAAATAACTTATAATAGAAATTCAATATTTGATAAATTATCTTTTAATTATTATTAATGATCAATTTATAAAAACTGCACCAGTACCTGAATCATATCATAAAACTTATCACATTGCTCTTTAAAGGCAGTTGCCCTGATTTCTCCACTTTCATCAAATAAATCCATACTAAATAACTTTCCTTCGCCTTTACTGTTACTCCAAGTTCTTATAGCAGACTTATTCATTACTCTTGCTTTGATTACCCACCTACAAAAAAATATATAGTTTATATTTATATAAACTACAAAAATTGATAAATACCAAATGAAAGCAAATATAAATCTTAGTGGTTGCATAAAAACTTTTTTTATATATATTTGCATTTTTCTAATCACAAGTGAAGAAATTACATAATATAAATTCTAATACCCTATTTCAATTTCAAATTTGAAATATCTAAATTATACAATCTTATATAATTGTAAACTTACTTATTTTGGTAAGGACTCAAAGAAACAATTGGATGAGTGAGCTGTTGTCCAACTAATGTCACAGAACTTTCATAAGTTGGCTTTTTGTTATACGAGTTTCCACTACTTGGAGGTGGAGCACCTGGTTAAAAATTCCATTTGTATTATTATATAATTAAATTATTAAGGATTACTCTGATTATTGTATACATTTTAAAGTTTTTTTCAAGTATTAACAGAATATAATAATCAAGCATAACACACTAATAAAAAGCACTTCACTTGATTATATTGTCATATTTCCTTTAACAATTATATTTTTTATAACAAAATCACCATTTTCTACTTACGCACTTAGTTCCAAAATGTCAACAGTAAATAAATATAGAAATGGTTCCTTAAAAAAGATTTTTGTTTTTTATACGTTGTTTGAAGCTCCACAAATTATTTACAAATATAAGACTACCCTCTATATATATATATATATATATATATATATATATATATATATATATATATCATAAAATCAGGTATCATAAAATTAGTATATAAATTAAAAAACAATGCTTTAAGGAACTTATGAGAATATTACTATACAAAATTAACTTGTTTATAGTAAATTATTGAGTTTCTTTTAAATATCTACTATATTAATCTGTATCTTTTCTTTGCTTACTTGTAACAGTTCCTGATACCCCCGAGCTAGAGTTTTGACCAGCCATGCCCTCGGGATTCTCAGGTAAAGCTACAGGGCTTCCAAGTTTTTCACCAACTTCTTCTCCAGGCCTGACAACGGTCAAGCCCAATATGATTAATACTCGTCTGAAAAGATATTTTGTAAATCAAAAATACCCAAATACATAGATACAAAATATAAAAACAAATTTCAACCATGGAAGAGTTTCACACATCAAAATAAAGCATTATAATAAAATATATTGGACATAAAATAAGTTCAATGTGGCTTGGCCTCTTTCGTTTATATTTATAATAATCACTTTCGGAAAAAGATTTTGAGAGAGCCCATATACACACCTATCACCTTTGCCTGTATTGTTTAGAACTGAAGTGATGTAGCGATCAACGCAAACCACAGTATTATCTGACAGTTCTCCAGCGACGAGCATACCATTGAGCTGAGTAGCCAGCATAGCAAAACTATGAAAGTATCGGCCATCAGAGATTAAAAGTCGATATCTTTCTGTGTTTCCATTTCCCATCACTTTCTTACTCCCAAGAATTTGCATAATAGGATTCTCAATGACGGCTCCGGTCATTATACCCTGGGATATAAGAAAACGATAAGTTAACGCTTGGTATGAAAGTGCACAGAGACAGTTAGGTCACATATTTTTGTTAAACATTAGCATAGCAATTATGAAAAATATCTCAACTTCTGAATCTTACCATCAAACATCCACTCGTGAGTTGAGAGGCCATGGCGATTTAAAATAGTTTTTAGAAATTTAATAACTTAATTTTTCACCGATATATTTAGCACGTACAATCATCTACTTGCTCAAAGATTAAGTTGCGAAGGATAAAAATGCATTAACGAGGATTACCGCCAATTTCTCATAAACATCTGTCAACCGACCATAGAACTTTATCGTTCGTCATATCGATAGTCAACATCGATAAAAACCGCTGATTTTTTGTAATTGATTTAGACATGGCCGGTAATCACGGAACCATAGCACGGAACCATTAGAATATATTCAAAATACTATTCGACACATAATTCGACATATAATTAAATTAAACATATTTAATTATTAACTTCCCGAAGGATAAGTTTATGTTTTCATCAAAAAATCCGAATTGCTAATTTTATGTTTTCTCGACGATTCAAGCCATTCTGAATCGAATGAGACCAAATTTGGAAAAAGTATGTGTGTGTTGTGTGTGTGTGAACACATTTTTTGCCGTAAATCGACGTTTTCTCAAAAACGGCAAGGCCGATTTCAAAAATTTAAAAGCCATTGATGTATCTCGATGAGGACTAGCGTTTCTAAGTTTTGTGCGACGTTTCTTTGTAAATCGCAGAAAAGTGAAAATTTTTTCGTCCACGTTTTAGCCCATAATTCTGAATCGATTTTGAAAATTCAAAAACTGTTCGAAACATATTGGTTGGGAATCGACCTGATTAGCTTTTGGTAAAGATCGGCCGAGCCGTTTTCTTGTAATAAGGTGTTAAAATTTTTTTTTCAACGATTTTCACGAATTTTTTTTTGACGGTAGATACCATAGTCTTATAGATCATACTAAAATATTACGGTCCTACGACAAGTCGTTTAATTTTAAAAAATCGTCAAAGTTTGCAAAAATTAGTGTCGATTTTTTGGCGTTTGTCAAAATTATAAATTTCATCGACAATTGCTCAAAAACGCCTAAACCGATTTCAAAAATTTAAAAGTCAATCGATGTATTTTGATGTGGATTATTTTTGTCAGTTTTGTGCAGAGATCGGCCGAGCCATTTCTTTGTAATTTAGAAAAAAGTGTTAAACTTTTCGTCCACATTTAAGCTCATACTAGGGAATCGATTTCCAAAAATGAATAACTGTTCGTAAGATATCATTTGGGAATGATACCGATTAGTTTTAGTTGAAAATCTATCTGTTTTCTTGTAATTAACCGATGAAAAAAAATTTAAGCCGATTTTTATGGAACTTTTTTTTGGCGTTACATATCCTGGTCTTATAGAACTTACTGAAATATTAGGGCCTTACGACAAGTTCAATTTTAAATTAGACGATTTACTTGGTATAAAGGTGCGTCCACACCTAACGAACGAACACGAACGAACATGTCGAACAAGAAAATACAAAGAAGAACGAACAGGAACACGAACGAACGCGAAAAATTCCAAACGAACTTGAACAAGCGCTTAAAAGCAGTGAGCGCTTGAATTTTCGTTGTTCGAAGATGTTCCGTGAAACGTCTGTTTTATTATTGATATGGATGTAAGCTTTAATCATACGGCATTTTCACTGGTTTTTGTGTGATTTTTGTTCGTGTATATTTTGTAAATATACTGTAAATAAATTATTCAATTAATTTCACTCAGTTTTGTATTTGATATTTATATTTTGAGTCGTTTTCTTTCCTCAGCATTCATATTCGGAGCAAGCTGAACATTCCAGGCTTGAGCTAACTATACTCAATTTTCAAACTCTCATCCTCAACGTATATGTTGAATGTCTATGTATGATAACAAGTTTAATATTTACTTGTAAAGACTGCAATTTCTCCTTTACTGCAGCTTCTGACATCCCAAACGTTTTGCCTACACTTTCCCAAGCATCGTTTTTTTTCTAATAATTTTATAAAAAGGGTCTTTAGTCTCCCATATTATAGGAAACTTTTCTATTTCATTTATGAATGACAAAATTACGTCATTTGACCATTCCATAATTTATTCAAAATTTTCAAACTGTACACAATAATTAAAGGTAAATATTATTAAATTATTAAAATTATTAAAAATTATTATTAAATTATTAAAATTATTAAAACAAAAATGTTCGCTTGCGTTCGTTGTGACGTCCACACTGCACATACGAGTTCAAACATGAACGAACAATTTCCTTTGATGTACCGACAAGTTGCGGAACATTGCTCGCCATGTTTGTTTATGTTCGTTCGTGATCGTCGTGGCGTCCACACTATGCTGTTGCCGTTCGTTCTGGTACGTCCGTTTATGTTCGTTCGTGTTCGTTCGTTAGGTGTGGACGCACCTTAACGATAGAGCATTCGTTCGTTTTCAATTATGTGTAATGAATCCACTCGGAATACTTTTAATCGCTCATAAATTAATTTATTGAAGTAAAACTTCTTTAGGCGCGATATGGGTGTAAAAATTTCTTTAGGCTACACGGGTGTAAATCCGTACAAATGCAACGAAAACGCCAACGTGAAGTTGAACACTACGACGCAGGTAGGCGCTGATATCGCGAGTCGCGATCCACTCCCGTCATGTCATGCGTAAGTCGAACGCTAAACCCGCTAAACCCTATATGAACTTGCATTATTTGAATCACGTTTTTTTTACAAAAGAAGAGGTTGCTGTATTATGTCCTCATGGAATAAGACTTCTTAGAGAATAAATGTGTCATGGAATATAATAAATTTATATTGAATCTCGTTGAAGACAAAATAATATCTACTGCCACGGATATTTATGTAGGTTGCCATGCGACAGATCAA